CCCTGCTTTGCTTAAGAGCCTTTGGTGGGACCCTGCCAAAAGCTCTCTCAAGGTCAGTGTACACAATATCAACAGGATCACACTTGCTTACTGCCTCAGGAATTCTAATAGGTTGGTATGGTATGATTTTTTTTATAAAAGCTGTGTTTCCACAATATCTCATGTTTATTTTTTGTCTCATCACTTTGTTCTTTACCACTTTCAACTAGTTGACCTCATACCGAAGTTAGGCTTACTGACCTATAATTACCAGGATCACCACTGGAGCCTTTTTTTAAAAAATCAGCATTACATTAGCTATCCTTCAATAACTGGTACAGAGGCTGTATTACACGATATACAACATTTAGCCTTTATAAAGAGCTTTTCATCTATAGCCCCCACAGTGGCTCACAAAAGAATTTATGTTACAAACTGGAAATTAAGATGCAAAGAAAAGTGCAAATTACTTGCCAAAGATAACACAGTGAATCTGTTACTGAATTAGGAAGAGAACAGAAGTCCTGACCTCTAGTGCCATGATGTCTCCATTGGAATACACTGCCTCTTTTCTAGTATGTCATTTTGGCCCTGTTTTATTTATATGAGTCTTTAACTACATAACTAACTGTGCTTCAAACTGAAGTGGCCTAATTTTACCACTGTTCATTTACTTGAAGATGTATTCAGTGTTGCTTGGGTCCTTAACACAAGTGATTTTTGTTTTTCTTCATTAAAATCATTGCTCTGTGGTAGGGCTGGCGATGAGGGGTTCAGTATGCAGGCTGCCCCAGGGAGAGAGAACTTACCCCAGCCCTCTCTTACCCCAGCAGTTTGGGGACAGATGAGAAGTGTCTCTCCATGGCCACTACAGCTCCAGCAGACACAACCATGGGAAGGTACATGTCCCCCAGATGGGACAGATCCAGGTTCATCTATCCCCTACACTCTCCAGCCAGAGCCAAACTGGACACTTTCCTCTCACTTCCTGACAAAGGAGAACAGCTAGCAATGTTCCCAAAAGAATGGGGGAAAGGGGGATCTGCAGCCCCTCCTGTCTTCCCCTAAAGGCACCTGGGGGGATGTTAGGCTTGGAACTGGGGCAGTCCCACATTGCTGGGGGGCCTCCAGCCAGCTCCTTTTACCTGCCTGGTGATTCCATCTCTTTTCTGTATAGTTTTATGCATCCCTGCTACTACTTGAACTTCAGGACTAACTTTGGTAGCTAGGAGGAACAGAAGATTTATTCCAGAATAGGGGTGGATGGTGGAGTAGGTCCAAAGGACAGTTGGGGGAAATCTGTTCTGGTTGCATCTTCCCATCTTGGGAGCTGCATAAGCTCCGGCCCCTTGTGCTGCACCCAATGAGGATAAATGACACAATGTGTTAAGTCTATGTGTGCGCATGCATAAGGCACATGCAACCTTAATTTAGGCTTTTCCTGATTTGAATGTTTGACTGTACAATTATAATGTTCTGCCAACAATTGAGTTTTATGGAAATTCTCGAATAAGAGATAAAAAGAGTTTTTTTCTTTGTTCTACTAATGAAAACAAGTGTATTAAAAATGGTTTCAGTTTAATTAAGTTTTGCATTCATTCAAAAGCAAAACATACTTTTTAATTTAAAAGAAAATTATGAGGCATTATAAATGGAATATTCCAGATCCTCATTTGGTGTAAATCAGCACAGTTACACTGACTTCAAGGAGAGATGTCAATTTACACAGTTAAGAATCTAGCCCAATATTCTCTTTCACAAGATCCTATGTGTGTGGGCCAATTTTTGTTCTTTTTAGTTAGTCCAATAAAATGTCACCAACAGTTTATTTGGCATTTTTTTCTTTTTAATTGGGCCAGCTAAACTGACACTTAAGCTACAAACCACTAAATTGCAAGAGGTCAAAAAACACACCAGCAAGCAAACAACTGACCACACAGTAAATCACAGAAAGAGACAGAGAGAGTCACACACAGAGTGACGAGCGTATCATCCAAATTTCTTCAGGTACTAAAGAATGGGAAGAGAATAATATAACTGATGCATGTACAGGTTGGACCACGTTGGTCCAGCAACCTCAGGACTTGAGCTGTCCCACACCAGGGAGTTTGCTAGACCAGAAGAGGTTAGTGCTCCCCTGCTGGCTGCCCACTCCCGGGATCCTCTCCCTGGGGCTCCCTGCCCTGCCCTGGCCTCTCTAATTCTGGCCCAGCAGGGTCCCCTCATGCTGCTGCCTGCAGTCTGCCTCAGCGTCCCCTGGGGCTCCCTCTTCCGCAGGGTGCTCCCCAGGCTTCCCAGAAGGGGCCGCCCAATTACCCTGCCCCTCTACTAAGATCATCCCTGCTGATTCCCTGGGGTTCCCCAACAGGGCTGCCTGCCTCTGCCAGCCCCACTGAACCGGGGTTCTGGTAGGGGCTGTCGCCAGCTCTGCTGCTGCTGGAGGTTCCCTGGCTGGGCCTCTCACTGCTGGAAACCCCTCTGCAGAGGTTCCTCAGCTGGGCCCAGCTGACACCAAGGATTCCCCTGCCAGGTGGGGGCTCCTCAGCCACGCCTAGCCCCACTGATGTTGAGGGTTCCTTGGTCAGGTCAACAGCTCCCCAGCTGCTGCTGTAGCCACTGCTGGTCCAGCCTGAGCTCCCCAGATCACGTTTTCTCTCATTGCTGCCTCCAGTGCTCTTTAGTCAAGCAACATCTGTGGCCCTGCTGGACCATGGATGTTGCTGGAGCAGAGAGTCCTGGATTTGGGAGCCTCAACCTGTACTAAGAAACATTTGAGCCACCTCTTTTAAAAATAGTGTTTTACACTCATAGTTTGTTTTTTAAAAATGTGTTCGTGATATTGTGTAAATATCAGCAGGCTGCACAGGCAACTGGCCTTTGTAATCCACTATTAATTTGACTTTAAATGAAACCCTTTACCCGAAACAAAAGTCTTTATAACACCGCAACATGAACTTTTCAAAACTTTTGGTCAACAGCTAACGCCCTCCGTGCTAATCAAGATATATTATGCAGAGAGCTCAGTTTTCATATGTGCCTAAATTCTGAGATCCAGTCCATATTAGTACAAAAAGTATTTAGATGATTAGGAGCACATGTGAGTGCTCTATTTCAGCACTCTCACTGTTCTAAGATTATATCTGCAGTGTGTAAGCAATGAATTTTTTTTTTCAAAACTTAACCCATATATACCTTTTCTTTCATTTACTATTTTTTATTTGTTTGTTTCCTTGAAATCCTGATATTTGCTTCTACTTAACAAATCTACTGATGCACAACACTGGAAAAAAGTAAGGAAATCTATGTATAAAAATTGAAATGTACCTAAATTAGAACTTAACATAATATGGTGAATTCTGTGAAGAGATTACTCCAGTCTAGTGAGCTATGTAATCCACTCTGTATTTATGCAACTCTGCTGGTCTGTGAGACTGTAGAGGACAATGAGCAAAGTTTCTCTGCAAGTCAGAAAGAAGTTACCCTGTTGATTCTTAATGAAATTTAAAGTTAAATAATTCTAAACCTCACATTTGTCTTTCTTTCTTTGTCACAATTAAAGAATGTATAACAGTAATTAAAAAACATCGACCAACAAAGAAGAAAAACCTAACCATGAAGATGGAGTTCTGCACAGCAGGGTTCATACTGAACAATATCCAACAGCGAATACCACTGAAGTCATTTGGAAACATCATATGGAACACAAGACAATCAGCACACACTGAAAGAAGGGTCAGCAAAATGGAATGCAAGCAATACAGAACATTCGCTGTCACACAACACACATATACACTCTTACCTCCTTCCCCTCCCCCTTAGAAACTAAAGAGCACAATGGGAAAACTACATGCAGTTCCCCACTAACAGTAATTTCATGGCTAACCCAAGTCCCACTGAAATCAATGGAAAGGCTCCAGCCATCTTCACTGGACTTTGAAGCAGCGTGTAAATGCATGATTCTTGTGATGTATATTTAAGGTGGAACACAAAACTTGCATTCCTGAACTCACAAAAGTAATTGGAAGTTTCTATAAGTGTGGAAATGTACTGGCATAATACTATTGGTATTATTATATTGCTATAGTCATAGCAATATAAATCCCCATGTGGACATGCTTAGTACAGAATAAGAGTGTCATCTTATGGTTATTTCATAATGTTTTTAGAGTGACGTAAGCTAAACATGGGGAGCTACACTGGTATAACTACAGCGGTATAATTATGCCAGTAAATATCTCTGTGAAGACAAATCCTTAGACACAGAACCTTAGACTGTTAGTACTTTGAGGCATGGACTGGCTTTTTGTACTGTATGTCACCTAGCGCAGTGGTCTAGGACTGAGTTTCCTGAGTGCTTATGCTGTATAAATAATAATTATACCTGTGATCAGGCAGATGAACCGAAGATAGGTGGGCAACACAGCCCCTTTCCATTCAGAAATACTACTCTTCTGCTACAGTTTTAGTTTTTACAATATTTTTGATCATTTTTTTAAGTATGTGGCAAGGACAACTGCAAGTTAGTACTTGGATATTTTTCAGAAAGCACTACAAAGTTATAGTGTTTGCCAAAAAGGTCTCCCTACATTTATTATTTTAGTAAAAAATTCAATGTTAGTTTTAGACACAATTCTTTTTTATATATAACAAACAGGGCAATTCCTAGCATTTACAATCCTGTGGTTCACTGAGCATGTTTCCAGGATTAATTTTGACTTTCCAAGGTCAACTTTACACTGATCAATGTAAGAAAATTGTGGAAAAGATTACTTT